GGGGGGTCCTTCGGAGTTTGTGTCAAATTATTGTTTTTTATTTTGAGGATAATTTGTTTTTTGTTTTCGTTTTACTTTTTTTTGCACTTTTAATTATTTTGCTCTTGCAGAATATGTGCCTCGGTTGATGGGTCATCTGTTATGGCCTGCGTCTTCTACTTTTCAGGCTAGCGGTTTTCCTTCTCTGTCGGTTCCTGGCGAAATATGACGGACATTGTGCACACAATCTGTAATCGACAATTCATCTGGTGCTCGGCTCATAGAGAAAAACAAGATTGTTTTCAAACTCTGTTTCTTTTTAAACCAGTGTTTTCGTTAAAACATTGGTCATTCTTTTTGCGAAGTTTCAGTACTGGCATTTGTGGTATAAGGGGTAGGCACTCCGCCGTCGAACGCCGAGAAGTTAAGTTCGATTCCTGAGTTGGGAAAGATTTTGTTGAGTATCCTGGTCTCTCTGCTGGAGCTTTCAGTCCCTCTCAGCCCAGGTTGGCCCTTAGAGGCAGGGCCCAAGCCCTCCTGTTAAATTATCTAAATTGCGCCGCTGGGGGAATTTCTAAATTCCTACACTTCAAGAAGGGTATAGTTTTACAGGCTGTCCTGCGTAATTAACTGTACCCTCATAGAGAGTGTCTGGGTCCGTTACCTGAATTGGTATCATGTTGGACTACGGAGCGGGCGACCACGAAGCCCCAACCGGTCTTTCTGGATTTACATTGTTTTTTGGGAGTTTTTAAGGTTCTCCATACACCCACCTGGCCCGGTCCTTTCGGAGATGAGGGTGGTTACAACGCGCCACTGGTAGGCCCTGCGTCTTTTCTTTCCGTCCATGGTTTCTGTCTATCTTTCTTGTCTTGATTTTTTCCCTGCACTAAGTGACAGTTTCTATGTCGATGTGCTTCCCTTTACTCAAACAAACCTATAGGAGATAAGCATTTAATTCTGAGGTCTCGCCTCTTTGATGATATAACAGTTGACAGAGGCGTTAAACCCATGCACTTACTTTACTTTCAGCGTGTGTCCATGGGCTCAAACACCCTTCTCATTTGTCCCAGACGTAAACACAAACACGAGACAGTGACGCAACTGCTTTATCTCTCGCGCCATCTTTTCCATTTGCACGGCCACGCGATTTTCCTGGGTCGTTTGGTCGCTTTCCTGGCGATTTCGCCCCCCAGGACCACCTTGTTACGCTTTTCTCTGACGTAGGTGTTTTTGTTTTTGTTCTAATTCATCTTGTTTTTGTTTTTTTCTTTCTCTCTGATCAAAAACGACGTTTGTCGTGAAAATCTGTTAAAGAGTCAGATCTGCCTCACTTTGATGGACGGAGTTAAGCAAATACTGCCTTCACGGATGATTTTTGTTTTGCTTTTTTTAAAAACTTAATCGACTCAAATACGTTTTTTATGATCTTCGTCGTTGTTGTACGCGTGGGTTTTTCTAAATCTTTGCAAAGATCCGGTTTCTTTATTTTTTATTTTAAAAAATTTCCCCCATGCCAGAATATCTATGCTAGCGACGCCCTCTTTCTGCCAAGCAAAAACCCCCTGGTATCCACGTCTTATCTCGGCGCCGCCATGTGCAGACTATCTCCAGCTGAAGAAAGTGAGCTCTGTGTTGCTGCATGTCCAGGCTCAGATTTGCGCTTGTCTCTGATGTTTGGTTCGTTTTGGGGTTTTCTTTGGTTTGGTTTTTGTATGTTTGGTTGGATTGTTTTGTTTTGTTTTGTGTTTTGTTTTGTTTTGTTGGGATTTCTTGGGTCCTTTTTTTCGGGGGGGGGGGGGTGATTTATTTTAGACATGAAATGCGTTAACGTTTTGTTTGTTTTCCCCTCTTTCTCCACTTCATTTTGACCAATAAATTCGAAACAGGAATTTTCCCTTTTCTGTTTGAGTGCGTTGTGCTGTACAGAAAATGCTTTTTGGGAGAGATACAGACAGACAGACAGACACAGCATTATGACAGACAGACAACAGACAGACAGACAGGCAGAGAGACAAACACAGCATTATGATTTTGGGACAGACGGACATTCGAAAATATCCGTTAATGTTTGGGTCTGTATTTTGTATATGACGCCCAGTAGTGCATTACAACTTGTTCAAAAGCAAACCGTCGTTGTCCGACTCTTACCAAAACTATCCACCAAATAAAGTCGAACACTTTTTGTTTGCTTTTTTTTTTGGGGGGGGGGTATTTTTTTTCCCAGGATAGTTCAATATTTTATGTAGAGTGTTCGTTTTTCTTATTGTAGTATGACCAATTGTAATTGCGGCTGTCAATAACATGATATGTGATCTCGATACAAAATAAGTGTCATTCATTCATTCATTCATGACGAGTAGTTTGGCGTTTCCTCGCTGCTGACTAGGCAAACTTCGCTGGTAGTGACACAGCGTGGGTGAGATCTGTTTGGGTCAGCGTTTAGAGCGCCGATGTCAGCACGGATCGGATCTGCTGAAGGCATCGTGTCACGTTACCGCAACAGCTGAGGGTGGTTGGCGGGTGCTCTGGTGTGGTTTGCTTCTTCCTTCTTATCAAACATCTGTCCTTATCTCCCCTTCTTCTTTTTTTATGTTTGCTACCCTCTTGTAACACCTCTAATCTTCTGGCACTTATATGACCTTATGCAGTAGTTGCGAGCGCCGTAAAACCTCTACTAAAACTAAAAACCGTAACAGCTGAGGGACATGGGAGTTTTATATCTGGTTATCCAAGTAATTCACTGCTCCCCTTCCCACCCCTACCCCAAACTTTAAAAAAGGGAGATTTTCTAGGGATATGAAAGAAAGAAATATAATTTGGACTTGTGAACTTTTGATTCGGGTCATTTTTCTACTTCGACCCTACCTGTCACTTTTTAAACTGTTAGGACCAACCAGGGCTGAGAGGGATACGATATCCCCGCCAGCAGACAGGTAGGGATACTCCATAAAGATTCTCCCCCCACCGAGAATCGAACTCAGGTCTTCTGCGTACAACGTTGACTTCCATACTACCACAGACGCCGGCATAATTATGGTGTTTCTCCAGTCTAAGAAGAAGAGAAGAAGAAACTATTTTCCACTGTTTAATCACGAGTCTGGTTCACTGAAAATCCGGTTCATGCGACAAGCGGCTAGTATTTTTGATATTATATAATTTGGTTAATAAAAAAATGAGTGCATGCCGCCTGGCTCCAGTTTCCTCCCACCCCCGAGGTTACCCTTCACGATCGCGACTCACGCTGTCTCTGCTCTGGGTGTGTGTGTGTGTGTGTGTGTGTGTGTGTGTGTGTGTGTGTGTGTGTGAGA